CGGCAACTGTTGTTGTGGTTCGAAATTGTTGCGAGAACCTGTCGGCGACTGATGTTGAAGGAATTGTACCTTCATCTTGCGACTGCTCGGTGGCAGGGAGCGGTCTCTGAGGTTGGATCTGCGATGTTGAAGTTGCTGCTGAAACGATGACGAAATTGTTGAAGTTGTCGCTGGAGATGTTGCCACTGCGTCAAATGTGCAAACAAAAAATTATGAAGGTAAAAATGTTGAAACGTTAAATTCATAAAACCAGGAGATGCATTTGTAGTTCAGTTTTATCTCTACATCAAATGACAACATTTAAAAAATACCGAATAAAACTGACCGTTGTTCTCAATAGATACGCCAGCAATTGCACCAATGTCCTCAGTTGTTTTTGACCTGCCCGACTTGAGATCCAATTGTTGCTGCAACATTTCAAGCTGTTGCAGTTCCTGTTGCAATTCTTGCTGCTGGCAGCGTTCTAGTTGGAATTTCTGCTGCTTTTGCTGCTGTTGCAGCTTCTGTTGCTGCTGCAGCTGCTGTGTGTGGTAGGTGGCCAGCTGGTTCATTTTGACGTAACCTTCCAGAGTTACTATAAGATTATTTTAATTTAAAGTTTATTTAATAATTAAATTGAATTTAATGTGGAAAATTTAAATTAGAAAACAATGCTGATTAGATTTAAACGCCAAAAAGCAAAAATTAGTTACAAACACCTGGTTTTTTAGTGGCATCTACAGTATCCCCATCCTTATCTTTGATGACGTCAACGACAGGACCTTCGCCCTCGATATAAAAAAGTTTCGTGTAGTCAGAATTTTTCTTATTGCTTACGTCACAACAAGTGCATTCTTCATTACGGCCAGCCCCGCTAACCCCCGTGATCGTGACGTCACTTTTATTTATATGGTATGGTTTGTCGTAAGGGTTGCTGCTACGCGGGCAGTCGGTGGCTGAGAAATGTGTGGGTGACGCTAGAGAGGCCTTGATCGGCGACGTTTTGGTGGAAGATGATTGCGATCTGTTGCTGCTGCTGCTGTGTGTGTGTCGACAATGGTGTTGTTGTTGTTGTTGTTGTTGGGTGAAACAACCAGGACAGCTATGTTGATGTTGTAAATGTTGTTGTGGATGATATTGATGTTGTTGTGGAAGTTGTTGTTGTTGTGGATGTTGTTGTTGTTGTGAATGTTGTTGTTGTTGTTGTGGATGTTGTTGTTGCTGGGATGATGTAGGAGGAGGCGGAAGAGGTAAGGAGGATGACAAGGACGTTGTTAGATGTTGAGGTGAGGAACTGTTGTTGTTGTTGCTGCTACTTGAACTCGTCGAACTGTTCTTACGCAGACTGTCTTGCTGGAGTTTTGAAGTTGTTGCAGGTAATGCTGTTGACGAGGTTTGCGATTGAGGTTGTTGTTGTTGTTGCTGCTGCTGCTGCTGACTATCAACAGCCTAAAGTAAAATATTAAAGTATTAAGTATTATATATATACATACATACATACATACATACATACATACATACATACATACATACATACATACATACATACATACATACATACATACATACATACAACACACACATACACACATA